ATTCGAAATATCAAGTTGTCCAAGAGAATACTTATTTTTTTCATTAAGATACTGAATAGGTCTCATCTTATCAAGAGTAGCACGCTGGGAATTAGTAAGACCAATACTTGCACGATTAAGCAAAGGCTGCCATCGAATATCAATAGACTTTAACTGCTTTTCAAGTTCCTTTAACTCAGTGTCAGTAGTAGTATTCTTTGCACGTGCATTTTCCAATCGTAGTTCAGCAGACTTACGCTGGGACATATAAGAATCATACAACTTAAAGGCACGCTCATAAGGGCCATTAGCAATATAATTATCCATACTAGCAGCAGCACCATGGTCAAATCCCTTAGAAAGAGAAAGACGGGAAGCAAGTTTATCCTTAACATAATTGTCACGCTCATAACCTAAAGCAATTTGGTCACGCTGATTTTGAATCTTCTGTGCTTCAATCTCTGCAAGAGATTTCTCTCTTTGAACTTGGGTAGAAAGATAATTATTAGCAGCTGCAACCGCTTGCATCATATTACCACCAACACCACTTAAAGGAGACTGATATTCATAAGATGCAGCATCAGCAGAACCAACACTCTGCATACCACTACCAGTATTACCACCATTTAAAGCAGCCATAGGAGAAAAACCAGCTGCTTGCCATTGCCTACGAAGAGCCATAGGACTTTCGAACTCATTATACCAGTCCTTAGCATCCTTTAATTGCTGCTCATACATTTGCTTATTAAAAGCATTCTGCTGACTAGCAATCTTCTCATTCTGCTTATTAGTCTTATTTTGTGAAATGGCACTTGCAGCAGTTCCAGCAGCAGCAGCGCCTAAAGTAGCAATAGTACCAATCATAAAGCAAAAGTGGGGGTACAAAGACCCCCGTTAAAGTTAAACATCAAGCGGAAGAGATTCGGAGCTGAGCAACTGGAGTTGTCTTTTCAACAACTGGAGTAGTCTCATTATTCTCAACCGTACCAACACTATTAATCTGCTCACGTAGATAAGCAGACAATCCGCGCAAACCACGGTCAGCGTCAAAGACATCACGAGGAGGAATAAGAGTGCTGAAACTTTCACCTTTAGCATTCTTATCCAAATGAATCTTATCGCGCTTAACAAACTGACCGCCACTTGCCATAGACATTGTGGTAGCATTGCAATCTACAACACAAACCGGGGTTTCAATCTGAGGAGCATCACCAAGGGCTGACTTAGAAAAAATGACTTTCTTATAATTAGGATTCATAGCAATAACAATTAAATAGTAATAGGCATAGTGATTCTACCAACTGGAGAAAGAACATCAACACCAAAACCGCACTCAAACTTCATAGGAGGATACTCAACGATATTAGTGAAAGTAAAGATACGTGAGTTCTCAGGAGCATCAACCGAATTATAAAGAATGTCATTCTTTGTGAACTCATTAACACCGTTAAAGTCACGCGCCATAGTCCAAACAATATCATCTTCGCCGCCAAGACTTGGGATAAGTTCACCATGAACGGTATTAGGAATAGAGCGCAGATGCTGCTCGCGAGGTACATAACCTACAACGTCACTTTCAGTAGGGGCAACACGTCCAGCGCACATATTAGCAAGTTTCAAAGTATCGTTACCCTTGAACTCCTGAGCATAGAGATGTTGTTCAGTAAGGTCCTCAAACTCCTTATGGAACCAATTAAAGCGGTCGAAGAAGTTAAAGGCATTTCTATCAACAAAGCGAGAGTAACTCTGTTCAGGAACGGTTGACATAATAGTAATTACAAGACCAAAGTCACCAGCAACAAACGAGTAGTTACCGTCTGCAAACTGGGTAGCGTCTCCGCAATAAACACCGAGTTCCTTACCTTCAGTCGAAGAAGATTTAGAAGTGTCGGAAGTAGAAGTTACCTTATCAATTCGTGGAGTAGTCTTAAGACCACCAAGATAAATAGGTTTATCCATATTTGCATAACTTGGTTTAATGCCAAACTCTGCAAGCAACTGCTCTCCATAGTCACTACCTACTAGGTTCATCTTCTCAGCAAGTTTAGTAGCTGCATTGACATAGCGAATAGTATCCATATCAAGGTTAACATGCAAAAGCCTATTAGGGTTAGAATCCGTGGCAGTTGAACCCTGTAAATAAGAAGAAGAAGAGGATAAAAAGACAGGACTACCTGAAGAATCAAGAGCAGTTAGAAGTATATCTCCAACATTACTATAAGATAAAGGTAAATTTCCAATGCTCTCAACAATTCCGCGCTGAGTACGTGGAAGAATCATAGAGAGATAATCCTTTTCAACTGGAACAGGATGCATAGCAAGCAACCAAGCAAGCATGATAGCACCGCGAGAGAAATACAATTCCCAATCAGCAGATGCAGAAAGAGTAGGCTGAAAAGTACCAAAAACTGAAAGATTACCACGCAAAGTAAAATGACAATCAGCGCCACGATCTATAAAATCACTATTATTCTCCGCATGAGTACTTATCTTATCAAGATTACGGAAAATAGCGCCATAGTGAATCTCCTCATCAAACACGGAGTGCTGATGAATAAGACCAACCTTAGTTGAAGTGTTAATATCATAATCCATATTAACCAACTCCTCACCAAGATTCTCCGCATCGTTAAAATAATCGAACGAATAGTCGTCAACACGATAATATTTAGATACGATTAACTGATAGGCGAGAAGTCTATCAACTGGAATAGCATTAGGGATAGAGTATGAACCATAGCGAGTAAAATCACTACCATCTACATTCCAGTCAAACCGACCAACACCACAATTAAACATATCAAGAAGAGAGCCCTTGCCAAATGCAGTTTCAAGAACAATTTTCAAGCGCTCGGGATTAAAGAGATAGTTACCAACAGAAGAAGGATTTGGTACGGAACACCAGCGAACAACGTCCATAAACTTCATGTTATGAGCAAATGACCAAGAGAGAAAAGCAATGGAGTAAAGAATCTTAGTATTAACACCAGCACCAGTGCGGTCAAGAGCTCCAGTCTTAAAATTATCTACATTGAAATAAGGTAATTCCTTACGATAACTGCCAGTCTTACCACCTTTATAGAACATCTCGAAAGCATCACCAAAAATCTGCTTATAAGATACATTGAAAGTATGCAACTTAGTTAAAAGGTTATCGAGAATCGGTTTGTTAAGCGGTTCAAACTGCACCGTATTAGACATACGGACACGAAAATTCTCATTTGGGAGAACTTGCATAATGTCGACTGGCATAAGTTGACCAAGACGCGCAGAACCCTTTACATTGTGTGACTTAGAATGGCGAGTAAGTTCACCAGCGCCAATCGTCACATCATTGTCAACGCGAGAACCAGCAAGGACATCTCCGCCACGCTGGAAAGAATTAACTCTCTTTTGATGTACATTAGTTTCGTTTACCATAGGTTAGAACAAGTTAAAAAAAGATTTTTTACGAGAGTGCAAATTCGATATATCAAATTGTTTATTTACAATTTCCAACTGAACGCGAGCGTTCTCCAACTGGAGTTTAGCAATCTCAACATTATTCTTAGAGATTCTTTCGTTAATCTCAAATTTCTCACGTTCTGTGAGAGGTTCGATAAAATCAATTTCTTTTTCCATAATTAATCGTTAGTATAAATTGTGTTAGATTCCTTGATAACCTTAACGGTGTCGGTTTTCAACCGGGGAAAATAATCTGTACGCGGAAAATACATGCGCTCAGGATAACCAATAGGACTTTCGTGATTCTCACGATTACCACTATTAACAGTACACGAAGAAACAGTGTAGGCGGTAACACCACCAGTGAACACACAAAGCAATAACTTAAGTATTGCCGAAATAAATTTGCGATTTCGTTCTTTCATTTTTCTTTAAGATTTGTTTAAGATAATTAGATGAGTTAGGAAATATATTATTAGAAATAAATGTAAATGTGTTGGAATCCTCATTATAGGAGTAAGTGCCAATGAACTCCTTATCACGATAGACTTTCAAAAATCCAGTCTCACCAATAGCAAACAAGGTACTAAGAGCGGAATTACAAACGAGAAAAATTCGGTTAAGTGACGGATAAGGAATAAAACACTTAACAAAGTGTGCAGTACAAGGGTCTCCCATATAAAGCATGGCATAATAGTTAAACTTCTTTTTCATAACTTATAATATTTAGTCGCGCAAATTAAAAAAGTAAATTCATAGAAATAGTGAACTATGAAATAAATGCTGAAAATATACATCAAAGAAAAAATCAACATACATACACATAAAGCAATCATCGGCATAAAACCAAATGTCAAGACATTCACGCATTTGGGAGAATACAGAATAAGTTATAAACATATGCAGATAAAATTAAAATTACGGTTGCAAATATAGCGGATAATTTTGACAAATAATCCGGGATATGAAAATATTTTTATGAATTTAACACAAGAGGGGCATTTTAACTTAAAATGACATTATTTAATCATGAATAAGATAAAAGCAATTACTAGCCAAACAATAAAAACAAAGGAACAAATAACAAGAATAGAATAAGCAAGGTCTGCCAACATGTTAATAAAATCATTTAGTTTCATAATATATAGAAGATTTTAGAATTTGTCGCACAAAGATAATAAATGTTTTTGATATTAGAAAACTGACAACGGATTTTTTCAATGAACACGAAGAAAATCACTCATGAGAAATCATGTGTCAGTGCGCTATAAGTAGTCAAGGGAATTCGCTCTGCCGAGCGAGCGCACAAAACGCAAAGAAACTGACAAGAAAGACACCACTTTCTTAAAATAAAGATTAATATTATTTATAATATTACAATAATGGAAAACAAAAGTGAATAATTTAAGGGGACTGGGCGCGCATGACTTCGCGCAACCAGTCAGAACACTCACGCACGCACGTACGCACGTAACGCGCGCACGCGCGCGCGATTTCGGTTACCTTTTGTGGTGCGCTCGGGTCGCGCCCAGACCCATCACCATGAGACGCTAACGCTTTGTCGCTATCGCTCCTAATTAGAAAGCATCAGCAGACAAAGTTTCAAGCATATTTCGGACCTTAATACATTTATCCTCTACATCGCGTAGAGTAGGTTCTTCCATTTCGGAAATATATTTCTCACGATTACGTAGCATGATAAAATACTTTTCATTATCATACCACTTTAGATAATCATTCTTCTGAATATCAATATCGTGAGAATATGACCATTTAAGGAATATAGAAGGATAAAAACGGAAATACTGACCATCTTGAAAACCAAAACTAAAGTTAGTACATATTTGAGGTGCAATATGTTCAGCATAACCCTTAGCAATGCCTTGCGACATCCAACGATGGAAAGGACGCAAGGCTTGAACATCATCCTTATAATGCTCAGCATTAACCGCTTTAAGAATATACTTTGAAATATAACGAGTACAACCAACAATGGAACGGACTGGAGAACATACAAACGCTTTTCTATCACTTAAATTCCAACCACGAAACAAAAAATCTTGAAAAACTGCAACGGACAACGGTGGAACATGAGCACGACCATCGGGTAATAAAGTAACAAGCGGGAGATATTCACTTAATCGATTCTTATTTCTCTTAGGAACTGGTTTAATCCAACCATATTGTGATTTAAGCGAGTGCTTAAACCAAATCAATAAATGATAGTGAGGGAGAAATCCCTCAGTTAAACGACCATCAGGCGTGTAGTGAGGTGCTGGAGAATACTCTCCGCAGCAAAAATATCTTACATAGTCAATACCATAATAATATTTAAGTTGCTGGCGAACTCTCTTGAAAAACTTTTGGACATCATCATAATTCAAAAATCCATTATCACAATGAAACTCTGCCAACTCATCACTATAAATCTTTTCTAAATCATATTTATATCTTACATTCTCGCCATAATACAAAAGATACTTACCATCTTCTTCAACATAGTCATAGTTCTCAACATCAACCGGTGACAACTTAGGTACTTTAAGATAATGCCTAAAAAATGCCTTATCCTTTGGAATATTCAAATTATTATAAACATCATCATAATAAATCTCATTATCTGCCAATGGGTCAGTTTCCCTAAAATCAATAAAACTACAGCGAATAGGGTCTCCAAACAAATCCTCATAGGCATTCTTCTTTCTCTTAATCTCTCCAGTTCTCTTATCAACAATACAAATATTAGTACAACGCTTTGTAGGGTCATACGTTAATGTAACAAAAAAAGCCTGTACTTGTTCAAACTCCAATTCCTTAGCAAGACGGAAAGACCACTTATTAACAATACGATTTAAACAATCGGCACACCTACCACAAGGCAACTCAATAAAATAGTCATTAGGTTTAGTCAAATCATCTACATAGATTTTCCTTGCAGTATGAAGATAATAATTCGCTTGTCCAGTTAAGTCCTTTAGACACTTGACAAGAGTTTCATTTCTTCTACGAATTAAAATAGAATTGTGAGGTAATTGTTTAACTACCTCACAAGAATTTTTAGAAATATGTTTAAGAATAGGAGAGTAACACATTAAAAATTATGTGATTAGGGATTCAATGAAACAAAATTGCTAATTACCATTTAATACCAAGTAATTTTATGAAATAATCAACAAGATTATTAGAACCTGAAGAAAGTCCAAAGTCACGAGCATGATTATTGCTATAATTCGAAATATCAAGTTGTCCAAGAGAATACTTATTTTTTTCATTAAGATACTGAATAGGTCTCATCTTATCAAGAGTAGCACGCTGGGAATTAGTAAGACCAATACTTGCACGATTAAGCAAAGGCTGCCATCGAATATCAATAGACTTTAACTGCTTTTCAAGTTCCTTTAACTCAGTGTCAGTAGTAGTATTCTTTGCACGTGCATTTTCCAATCGTAGTTCAGCAGACTTACGCTGGGACATATAAGAATCATACAACTTAAAGGCACGCTCATAAGGGCCATTAGCAATATAATTATCCATACTAGCAGCAGCACCATGGTCAAATCCCTTAGAAAGAGAAAGACGGGAAGCAAGTTTATCCTTAACATAATTGTCACGCTCATAACCTAAAGCAATTTGGTCACGCTGATTTTGAATCTTCTGTGCTTCAATCTCTGCAAGAGATTTCTCTCTTTGAACTTGGGTAGAAAGATAATTATTAGCAGCTGCAACCGCTTGCATCATATTACCACCAACACCACTTAAAGGAGACTGATATTCATAAGATGCAGCATCAGCAGAACCAACACTCTGCATACCACTACCAGTATTACCACCATTTAAAGCAGCCATAGGAGAAAAACCAGCTGCTTGCCATTGCCTACGAAGAGCCATAGGACTTTCGAACTCATTATACCAGTCCTTAGCATCCTTTAATTGCTGCTCATACATTTGCTTATTAAAAGCATTCTGCTGACTAGCAATCTTCTCATTCTGCTTATTAGTCTTATTTTGTGAAATGGCACTTGCAGCAGTTCCAGCAGCAGCAGCGCCTAAAGTAGCAATAGTACCAATCATAAAGCAAAAGTGGGGGTACAAAGACCCCCGTTAAAGTTAAACATCAAGCGGAAGAGATTCGGACTGAGCAACTGGAGTTGTCTTTTCAACAACTGGAGTAGTCTCATTATTCTCAACCGTACCAACACTATTAATCTGCTCACGTAGATAAGCAGACAATCCGCGCAAACCACGGTCAGCGTCAAAGACATCACGAGGAGGAATAAGAGTGCTGAAACTTTCACCTTTAGCATTCTTATCCAAATGAATCTTATCGCGCTTAACAAACTGACCGCCACTTGCCATAGACATTGTGGTAGCATTGCAATCTACAACACAAACCGGGGTTTCAATCTGAGGAGCATCACCAAGGGCTGACTTAGAAAAAATGACTTTCTTATAATTAGGATTCATAGCAATAACAATTAAATAGTAATAGGCATAGTGATTCTACCAACTGGAGAAAGAACATCAACACCAAAACCGCACTCAAACTTCATAGGAGGATACTCAACGATATTAGTGAAAGTAAAGATACGTGAGTTCTCAGGAGCATCAACCGAATTATAAAGAATGTCATTCTTTGTGAACTCATTAACACCGTTAAAGTCACGCGCCATAGTCCAAACAATATCATCTTCGCCGCCAAGACTTGGGATAAGTTCACCATGAACGGTATTAGGAATAGAGCGCAGATGCTGCTCGCGAGGTACATAACCTACAACGTCACTTTCAGTAGGGGCAACACGTCCAGCGCACATATTAGCAAGTTTCAAAGTATCGTTACCCTTGAACTCCTGAGCATAGAGATGTTGTTCAGTAAGGTCCTCAAACTCCTTATGGAACCAATTAAAGCGGTCGAAGAAGTTAAAGGCATTTCTATCAACAAAGCGAGAGTAACTCTGTTCAGGAACGGTTGACATAATAGTAATTACAAGACCAAAGTCACCAGCAACAAACGAGTAGTTACCGTCTGCAAACTGGGTAGCGTCTCCGCAATAAACACCGAGTTCCTTACCTTCAGTCGAAGAAGATTTAGAAGTGTCGGAAGTAGAAGTTACCTTATCAATTCGTGGAGTAGTCTTAAGACCACCAAGATAAATAGGTTTATCCATATTTGCATAACTTGGTTTAATGCCAAACTCTGCAAGCAACTGCTCTCCATAGTCACTACCTACTAGGTTCATCTTCTCAGCAAGTTTAGTAGCTGCATTGACATAGCGAATAGTATCCATATCAAGGTTAACATGCAAAAGCCTATTAGGGTTAGAATCCGTGGCAGTTGAACCCTGTAAATAAGAAGAAGAAGAGGATAAAAAGACAGGACTACCTGAAGAATCAAGAGCAGTTAGAAGTATATCTCCAACATTACTATAAGATAAAGGTAAATTTCCAATGCTCTCAACAATTCCGCGCTGAGTACGTGGAAGAATCATAGAGAGATAATCCTTTTCAACTGGAACAGGATGCATAGCAAGCAACCAAGCAAGCATGATAGCACCGCGAGAGAAATACAATTCCCAATCAGCAGATGCAGAAAGAGTAGGCTGAAAAGTACCAAAAACTGAAAGATTACCACGCAAAGTAAAATGACAATCAGCGCCACGATCTATAAAATCACTATTATTCTCCGCATGAGTACTTATCTTATCAAGATTACGGAAAATAGCGCCATAGTGAATCTCCTCATCAAACACGGAGTGCTGATGAATAAGACCAACCTTAGTTGAAGTGTTAATATCATAATCCATATTAACCAACTCCTCACCAAGATTCTCCGCATCGTTAAAATAATCGAACGAATAGTTCTGTCAACACGATAATATTTAGGATACGATTAACTGATAGGCGAGAAGTCTATCAACTGGGAAATAGCATTAGGGATAGAGTATGAACCATAGCGAGTAAAATCACTACCATCTACATTCCAGTCAAACCGACCAACACCACAATTAAACATATCAAGAAGAGAGCCCTTGCCAAATGCAGTTTCAAGAACAATTTTCAAGCGCCTCGGGATTAAAGAGATAGTTACAGTACTCTGCGTTGATACCACTGCTT